CATCCTTCCATAATGTGTGACCAATCATTCACACTGGAGCTGAACTAAGATGAGCTAACCTGAAAGATTTTCCCTTCTCATTTAGGAAGCAAGCGGGATTTTCCCTTCTCATTTAGGAAGCAAAACAGGTGGTATGGAGGGAAAGGCAGGGTGTGCTGAAGTGATGGGGGAACAAGGACTGGTTTAGAATAGTTTCTCAGTCTCTATGCCGTGGAAATGGTGAGCATGCTGACAGCAGAGGCTTTTAGCTTGTTCTTAGCCCAGCTCTCAGTCAGCATAGCAGGCGCTCAGCTTAGCAGCCTTTGCTAGTCACCAGTTTGATGATGCTGAGAGTACTTGAGATGGCCAGTGTACAAAGGGGAAGTGAATTTGTGGGGGTGTTGCTGGATTGGGGTGTGTTCAGAGTAGGGTGAGGCCCGGGAAATGGTCACCTCACTTCCTCTTCTCTCCTTCTGAAGAAGAGGGTCACCACACCCCATGACATGCTCCCAAGGATGATCCCTCAGGGCCTTGGGACCATTTCTCCCCTTTCACTCCCCCAGAGGGGCACTCAAGGTCCATCCTAAGGTAGTTAAAAGTCAGCTGCAGCTGGTGGGTAGAGGTCAGATCCTGGCTTTTGGCTTCACCTCACTGGAACTCTGAGCAAATCACTGGGTCCGATCCATGTATCCATGTGTACAACGGAGAGAACTGTGTGGAGAGTCAGTGTTTGCTCCCAGCCTGTCTTCAGTGAGGCTCAGAATGAGAAACAGTCTCATGGCCTCATCTGTGAAATGGGCATAATGAGGCCTGCTCTGTCCAGGGAACACCAAACATGTCCTATAAATGGTAAATAACTATCTGAATATAGGTGTGTTATGATAATGTAATCTCTCTGGACCTCAGTCTCCCCATCTGTAAAAAGGGAACAATACCTTCCCGCCCTCCAGGAAGCCTGGAAGAAGCTTGCTTTTAGAGCGAGGCTGACCCAAGGAATCCAAGATGTACAAAGCAGCCAAAACAGGTGGTATGGAGGAGACTCACAATTGTCAGAGAACATAATGACTTTTAGCTTGGTAGTTTTGCAAAGTCCCTTCCTGCATAGCTTCTGAGGATGGGATTTTGATGATGGTAGCTCTATTCTTCCTTGTACCTCCCACCTACCCCTATCTAAGTCCTGCCACTTAAACCCCAGTGGAAAGTACACAGGAGGATCATGACCCTGGTCCCTGCCCCCAAGCATTCAGCAGAGCTGGACATATTGGTTTCCTTTCTCCACAGGGATGGGACCACAGACATCACCAGAACAGTCCACTGGGGCACCCCATCTGCTTTCCAAAAGGTAATCGTGGGCCCAGATTTGCCCTCCTCACTCTCTCACCAAGGGGCACCCAAGAAGTCAGCCCACCAAAAGCTAGCTCATTTTAGAGGCTCAAACTCAGGCCTAGAGAGGTTAAGTAGTTTAGCCAAAGTCACCCAAGTTAGTGCCAGAAAACCAGTGTTCCTTGCTGTTTTCCCGGAGATATTTCAGGGACTAACACGGCCTCAGCCCAAACTGACCCTCATCCTATGTCAATAAATCGATGAACACACATTTTTTGTTGTTGCTGAGGCCCATGTGCCTGGCTCTGTGCTCAGCAGAGGAGGAAGAGAGGCATTCTGAGTGGAAGAAACAGCATAAGCCAAGTCTCAAAGGTGGAAAGGAGCCAGAGTTGTTCAGGAACCAGTAAAGGCTGGTCAGCTGAACAGCTATAATCAGTGGTCCTGCTTGGCCCCACAAACACACCCACATTCTCACCTACTCATGCACATCCTGGACACAGTCCACACACCACCTAAACAACCCTTTAGATGTGTTACCCTTGCACAGTGCACAACCTGAACACTCGGGCATGGCAGCCATGCAGAACAGGCTAAACCCATCCTTCCAAAATGTGTGGCCAGTCATTCACACTGGAGCTGAACTAAGATGAGCTAACCTGAAAGATTTTCTCTCCTCATTTAGGAAGCAAGTGAACTGTAGGTAGCTTGGGATGGGGCAAAAGGAGGGGTGTGCTGGGACATTGTCTCTGCATTATGGGCCTCTGGGCCTGGAGCAGGGAGCTGCATGTATGCATTCAGCAAGCTGACTGTGGATCAGACATCGTACTGGAAACAGAGAAGGGGGGACTGCTTTCCGGGCTTCCAGGAGCTCATAGATAAGGGGGCTGAGTCTGCTGCCTCAGGCTTTCATGCACAAGATGACAAGCCTGTGTGTGTGTGTGAAGAGGACTGAATACATCACCTCTGGGAGGGACCAGAACAGGCCTCCATCAGCT